AAGCAGCTATGTCCCAGTGTTTCTGTCAGAGGCACCAAAGTTGTTCAAAAGTGGATTGCTGACACCGGATGTGGCGATCTTGAACGTTTCACCACCAGACAAGCATGGCTACTGTTCTCTAGGAGTTGAAGTGGCAATGAGCTATCCAGCAGCACAGACTGCACGTGTGTTGATTGGACAGATCAACAAGCATCAGAAACGCACGCATGGCTATGGTCAGATCCATTATTCAGCATTTGACTATGTGGTAGAAGCAGATGAACCGTTGGCTGAAGCAGCAGCAAAGACACCGGGAGAGGCAGAGCGACAGATTGGAAAGCATGTTGCTTCTCTTGTCCCAAACGGAGCGACATTGCAGATGGGCATTGGATCTATTCCAAATGCAGTCTTGGCAGAACTCAAGGATCACTCAAATTTAGGAATCCACACTGAAATGTTTTCTGACGGTGCCATTGACTTGATCGAAAGTGGTGTCATCAACAACCTGAACAAACAGTATCTTCCAGGCAAAGTCTTGACTTCGTTTGTAGTGGTGTTGTTATTGATGCAAGGGATCCAAGAAAACCTATGATTTTGTGGATGACAATCCAAACGTGTTCTTTGTGGACTCTTCTGTTGCCAACGATGTGCACATTATCGGAAGCAATCCAAGGGTGACTGCCATCAACTCTGCTGTTGAAGTGGACATTACTGGACAAGTGTGTGCAGATTCCATTGGAAACACCATGATCTCTGGGGTGGGAGGGCAAGTGGACTTTGAGCGTGGTGCTGCCTTGAGTCGTGGTGGACTTCCAATGATCTGTCTGCCCTCAACCACAAAACACGGCTTCTCACGAATTGTGTCCGAACTGAAGGGTGGTGCTGGTGTGACAACTACAAGACCACACGTGCATTATGTCATCACAGAGCATGGTATAGCACAGCTGTTTGGCAAGAATTTGATACAACGTGCCAAAGCCTTGATTGCGATCGCACATCCAGATCACAGACAGGAATTAGAACGACAAGCGTCTGAGAGATTCAAAATAAAATCATGGTAGGTCATTTTATGGGGTTAGCGAGTGGAGATGATGCCAGCATTAATCAAAGTCTGGATCTTGGCTGCAATAGCAGGATTCTTGAGGTGACTAACGTTAAAATGATTACTCTCTGGCTGCTTTTGGATCTTCTTGCATCTGCTGCAAGATCTGCTGCATGATTGGATCAGACATGATCTTGGCGACTTCTGGATCCTGCATGGCTTTCTTGTAGCGCTGTTCAGGAGTCAAGTTTTCATTATCCTGTCCATTGGCAAGGTAAGCCTTTTGGATCTGTTGCTGAATCTCTGCAGCATGCTTTCCTTCAGGATCTTTCAAAGAGGCAAGGTTGCATGTCTCAATGCACCTCGTAAACTCACGCTTGGTGAATTGGATGGCTGCCTTGCGGATATAAGCCTTGACAAAGTTTTCATCCAAACGAATGGCTTCATCACAGTCCTTTTCTGCTTCTGGAAGCGCCATGAGCTTCATGTATGCAGCAGCACGGTTGGAAAAATTGCGAGCATCTTTTGGATTGCGCTTGACTGCTTCAGTGTAGAGCTTGACAGATCCAGCATAGTCGTGGTTCTTGAAGAGGTTGTTTCCTTCTTCTCTGGCTTCATCAGCCAGTTTAGGATCAATGTAAGCTTCAAGATCCTTCTTCTTCTTCAAAGTTTCGACTTCACGCAGCTTTTCAAGTGTATCAGCAGTTCTGTGCTCGGAGAGAGACTTTTGGAAGAACTTGATGGCTTGCTCAAGATCGTCCTTCTTGACATACGCAGAACCAATACGAGCAAGTGCACGAGCAATGAGCTTAAAGTCAGCACGCATCGAGCGACCGATATCAACGGCTTCCTCACAGACTTTGATACACTCGTCATACTTTTCCATCTCAAAGAGAACAGCAGACTTGTTGGTCAAGACAGCAAGATTGGTGTCATCTGCAGCCCATGCAGCATCATAGTGCTTGAGAGCATCGTCAAACTGGCGTTTCTTGTAGCTGGCATTGCCCAATGCCTTGTGTTCGTCACTCGCAGCACGCTTCTTCTTTTCTTCAGTCTCTTCTTCAACAACTGGAGCAGGTTCTTCCTTCTTTTGCTCTTCTTGACGCTTGCGTTCCAAATTCTCTTCAGCTTCGCGTTTCTGTTGCTCCAATTCGTCTTGATTTGTGGCAACAGTGGCATCCAAGCCCATGAGACCGACCATGATCTGCATAATCCTCTGATCTTGCATGGCCATGGCAATGTTTTGTGGATTTTGCTGGATCTGCTGGAGTTTTGTAACGACATCTGGCTGAGACAAGAATGGTGACAACTTTGGATTAGCAGCAATCTTTTGCCACATGTCTGGACCAAAGACTTTGCCAATACCACTCAACGATTCTGATTCGATCGCACGCTCCACATCTTGGAGTCCCTTTGACAACTGTGCATTTGATGGTTCAAACTCCAAACCCTTTCTGTAGGCATCAGCAGCTTCATGCAACTGTCCCAAACCGTGCAAGGCAGCACCTTTGCGAGAGTATCCCTTGGCCCAGTCTGGCTTCAACTGGACAGTCTTTTCAGCATCATCTGCAGCACTCGAGTACTCTTTCAAAGAAGAATAAGCAGCAGATCGGTTGGAATAGAGCACATGGTTGGATGGATCCAATTCAATGGCTTGTGTGAAGAACTTGATTGCAGATTGATAGTCTCCAGAAGAAAATGCCTTGTTTCCTTGAGCCTTGAATTCCTCAGCAGTCATTGGAAAAGACTGTCGCGTTCCATCAGCTTCTTTAAGTCACAGAATTTCCAAGAGATTCCAACAGACATACAGCTCTTGGGGGAATCTTCTGTAGAGATCACAAGAGATGAGATCTTGTCCATCCACATCCAATGCCAACATCCATTCTCAAGATCTCCATGGTCAAAATTGCTCTCTGTTTGGTTGTCATGTCCAACAACCGTTGATCATTGAACGGAACTTTTTGCCACCTTCAGATGCAGCAAGTCTCGAAAATACCGCGCGAGCCGATGGAGCCATTCGCGCCAAGATCTAAGCGTCCAAGTGCTGTGAGAATCATGGCAGAAGCCAGAGCTTCGCTGCAGCATCCGACACGACCATTTACACCTGCCCTGCCACGCTCTAAGCAGCCTCTGTGGCAAAAACCACCAAGGCTCTTGATTTGACACCAGAAAGATTGTATTGGAACCTATTCAGCGAGAGAGTGTCGAGAATGGCAAACCACCGCGTCCGACTCAAAAACAACCAGAGTCTCTGAACACTGGACTGCTGGAGCAGCTGAAGAGAGAGCCTCAAGCTGTTTTGAGTCAGTACAAGGCAAAAGGGTGGCCTAAAACTGACTTGAACCCAAATCTCAATTCCATTGAAGTCACACCAGCTTTGTTGACACTCTTGCTCCTGACAGAGAGTGAGACTGAGGCAATAGCTGATAAGCTCTATGGAATGTCACAGGATGAGAGTTTTGATACCTATCTCAGAGAGCATTGCATTTTGGATGCGCTCTTGGATTACTCTCGTAGACATCTCAATAGCTGCATTGAGAATCTGTCTCAGATGACAATTGTGCTGGGAATCATACAGAACATCACCAGCATCAAAGAAAATGTCAGGATGGCAGGCAATCTTGGGTTGATTGAGCATCTTGGCTTTGGCTTGTGGACATTGACACGAGAGCGTCTTCATGCAGACAGACAAAGTCTCGGAGACTATCTGAATCAAGTACCTGTGTTCAATCTAGCTCATGCTCATATACCGCAATCTGTGTGCTGACAAACAGCTGCGGTCTCGCTTTGTCACTGTTTTATCGTTCTCAAAGCAATCTCCGCTTGAAATGACAACGATAGTGCTCGAAAAAGACTTGGGATTGCGCCAACATCACGATCTGATGCTCAATCTTGCCCGCATTCACAGCAAACTATCTCTTGACAAGACATGCGTTTCGGTGTTGGAGTCAGAGACGTTTTTGACCAACTGTGTTGAGATTGTAGCACAATACTACCAAGATCCATCAACAAATGCTGCCATACTCACGCGTTTGTTCTTTACACTTGGAAATCTTACATCTGCAGTTTCTCCAGTGCATATGGCCTTAAAGCCTGGTCTAGATTATATCATGTCCATTTTGGAGCACATGGGAGAACGCTGCGCACAAGAACAAACACCGGAGCAACTGGATCTCTTGATCAAAACCATCCGACTCATTTCTAACCTCACACTTGATCCATCTATTGGCAGGTTGTGTACGCAAATGATCGAATCTGAAAAGCTGCTGGATCTCATTGACGATCCACTCTGTGAGACAAGCGAAGAGCTGCTCCTGAATGTCTGTGGATGCTTGGCCAATGTGACGTTTTACCTGGAAGGGTCGCAGATCATGTACGAACGAGCAAGCCAGTTCTTTCACTGTATTTATGATCATTGTAGGTCTTGTGAGTTTGTTGATGCACGACAATGAAGAAGTCGTTGTGGAAGCATGCCGGATCATTGCCAATCTGCTCAGAGACAAATCCATGGACATGTCATCTTTCAACAGATTCAGGACTGGTGAAGTGATTGGATCGCTCCTGAGCCATCCAAGTGCCAGTGTCAAGTTCTATACTGCTGGCATGGTCATCAATATCTGCATTGGGACACGGACAAACGCCATCAGACAGCTCCATGAGAATCATGCGATGAACAAGTGCTACTATTAACATTAGTCTCTATGACAACATGCAGGACGCCATCAAAGAGCAGGACTGGGATCTCGCACAAGTTTCTTGTCAAGCACTCTACAGCATGTGGTAATCCAACTCAATCGAGCCAAAAAATAGCACATTCTGATCAAGAGAGACAGCAGATTGTCCAATCCTTGCAAATGGATCTCAAGCTCTTGCATCAGACACCTCTCGGATCCATCTGTGCAAAAATCGTGCAGTAAAGACAGTCTATCCATTAAAAGATCATCCAGAGACAAAACAGCGGTGTAAAAAACAAAAAGTGCTCCCTGTCGGGGAGTCGAACCCCGGCCGCCTGAGTGAAAATCAAGAATCCTAACCGCTGGACCAACAAGGAAGCTGAAAAGAACGACTTAAACTTTATTAGATTGTTGCACTGCATATTGTCAAAACAATGCTCATCAAGAAGTGGTTGAGAGAGACTTGAAAACACTTTCCTCTTTCTTTCGGTCTTTTGTATTGTGTGGTATATTTAAGACTACCCTCGGAAATGAATCTGAAAGCTTGATAGATGGATAATTGATTGGTCCGAACCCAATCAGAAATGAAGATGGCGACATCTTTGCATGTGCTTGTGTCCCGCGCGCGGTGAAACATTGAGTTGGGTTTCAAAGCCGATTAAGGACGGAGCGGGCCATAAATTCTTTCTATCAGATGTCTTCAAGCACAATCGTCCTGGCTGAAGAAGCCAAACCGCAAGTTGAAGAAGAAAAAGTTGTCTACCCCAATGGTGGTTTCCAGGCCTGGGTCCAGGTCGCAGCTTCCTTCATGGTCCATTTCGTTGTTATCGGCCTTCTTAATATCTTTGGAGTCTATCAAGCCCAGTACAAGCAGGAGCCAATGCTGGCTGGTGTCTCCATCACTGCAATTACCATCATTGGATCTGTCACTGCCGGAGGACTCAATCTGTTCGGCCCCATGTCTGGCTGGCTTGCAGACCGCTTTGGCTACAAAACCATGAGTGTTGTTGGTGCATTCTTGTATGCGCTGGCCCTCATCCTTGGCTCTTTTTCGACAGAGTACTGGCACTTGCTCATCACACATGGTCTTATCTTTGGGCTTGCTGCTTCCATCGTTTACTTCCCAGCCCTAACTGTTCTCTCGCATTGGTTCTCTACACGCAAAGGCCTAGCCACAGGTGTCGCTGTGTGTGGTGCTGGTGTTGGTGGCTTTGCGCTTGGTCCAATCACACAGCTCATGATTGCTAATCTTGGATGGGCATGGTCTCTCCGCATCACAGGTATTGCTGGCGGAGCTATTCTGCTCGTTTGCTCGATTATCTTGCAGCCAAGATTCAAGGCTGGTGCTGGCAGCTCTTTGAGCTATTGGGAGATGCTCAAGGACTCGCGCGTGATCAGATTCGTGATTGCTGGTATTTTCATCTCGTTTGGATACTTTGTTCCCTTCTTCTTCATGGCCACATATGCCAAGTTCAATGGCATGTCTCCCTCTGAAGGTGCGCTCTTGGTGGGTATCCTGAATGGTGCATCTGCTGTTGGACGTGTTGTGCTTGGTGTTTTGGCAGACAAGTTTGGCCATGCAACCATGCTTACGACTTGCCTTTACTTGTCTTCACTCTCAGTCTTTGTCATCTGGCCCTTCTCTACCAGCTTTGGCGTCTTGCTAGTCTTTGCACTTGCCTATGGTTTCTCTGCCGGTGGCTTTATTTCACTCTTCCCAACGACATCTGTTGCCATGTTTGGCACCAAGAACGTGGCATCCATGATTGGCTTGCTGTATTCTGGTGCAGCCATTGGCAATCTCGCTGGTGCTCCTATTGCTGGCATTCTGATTGACTCTTTTACAACCAGATATCCTAATGGCACCGTCTCTGTCAACTTTATCCCTGCTATCATGATTTGTGGTGTCATGCTCTTCCTTGGCTCCACCATCATCTTGACCATCCAACTTTCTGAAGCTAGACGCAAGCGCACTGCATAAAGTTTTTATTCTGATTTGAGAGGCTCATCTTCCAATCGACATCAAAGACATCATGTGCAATGCAGCACACTGACGCCATCGTAGGGATGCACCCGTTCGACCCTTACCGATGCCTTGCACTCGGCAATTGCTCCCATCCACAGTCTTGCTTGATTGAAAGACAGCATTCAAGAGGTTTCGTCTCCATTGCGATCGCTGCACCATCGGCAATCGTGCGATGGCACCTGGGCATTGGCACAGCTGTAACGCCTCGATTGGGCTTTTGCATCACACCGGCAGAAAAAGCCGTGCCGTGTGTGCCGCGCGCTGCTTTTTGGTGTCACAAAGCAAGCTTTGCAGCAGCATGCCACCCCAACAACCCTCAACTATCTCCAGAGACCCTGAAGTAACTGATAAGCCTGGCAGCATGATAGCCGGTGTCTCTTGGGAAATAAACCCACTCTTTGTCGTAAATGACAATGCTCTCTTTTAAAGCTAGAAATGCCATTGTGATTTTTCCGCCCAAAAACAGTACATTCCAAACTCATTCTCGGCAATGAACTTCCGCCCAGCGCGCGGGTGGCAACAACCCTGTGTGACCACCCTGTTCGACCCTTTTTCACCTTCCATAAAGTCTGCAACGCTTCTCTCGCCATAATGGAAGTTCCCAAGCCAGTACTATCAAAAGATACCACTTCAGAACACACCATATGTTTTTCAGACGCCGTGCCGTCTGATTTGGATTCTGTGGATTCGAGCGAGACTCAAATGGTGATTACCGATGGAGGATGGCAGGCATGGGTGCAAGTATCATGCTCGTTTGTTGTCAACTTTGTTGTGATTGGCACCATGAACTGTTTCGGTCTGTTTCTCAAGAACTACAGGGATGCTCACCTCGATACCCTCTGGCATGTCAATACTACTTCACTAGCATTTATTGGATCATTGGCAACAGCATGTATATCTCTTTTTGGGCTCTTTACTGGAAACCTCGCCGATCGCCTTGGGTACAGACTGATTTCGTTTACAGGCGCCTTGACTTACATCCTTGCCCTAGTCCTGGCATCTTATTCCACATCCTATGTCCATCTTGTTCTGACCCAAGGCATTATGCTCGGACTTGCGGCATCCCTCAATTTCTTCCCAGCCATGGCCATTCTGTCACACTACTTTTCCAAACGCAAGGGATTGGCTACTGGTATTGCCATTGCTGGTGCCGGTATTGGTGGATTCGTCATGTCTCCTGTCACAAGTGCACTTTTGCAAACTTATGGATGGCAATCTACCCTCAGGGTCCTTGGGGCCACCGGTGGCTTGTTACTGACCCTCGCGGCATCATTTTTTCGTCCTCGCTCACAGCCGAAACCAGTGTCGTACAACAAGATCAGGCATTACATTTTCGACTTCAGATTCGTATGTCTGTTCCTGTGCAACCTGTTTAGTTCCTTTGGGTACTTTGTGCCTTTCTTCTTTATTTCAGTCTATGCCACTCGATGTGGACTTCCAAGGGAACAAGGTGCGCTCCTGCTCGGAATCATGAACGCTAGCTCTGGTGTTGGACGAGTCCTCATGGGCATGGTCGCTGACAAGTTTGGACACTCGCGAACGTTGAGTGTGAGTCTGATCTTGGGTGCAGTCAGTATGGGTCTTGTGTGGCCGTTTTCCACAAACTACCCCTCTTTGATTGCATTCAGTGTCCTCTATGGCAACTTTGCTGGTGGTTACGCTTCCCTGTTTCCAACATCCATCGTTCAAGCCTTTGGCACCAACGACATTGCAACAATCACTGGTCTTGCTTACTTTGGTGCCTTCTTCGGCAACATCTCTGGACCGACACTTGTACAGTATCTCCTGAATGCCTTGAACGACAATTATATCCCCTCCATGCTCGTTGCTGCTGGTACCATGTTGATTGGTGGCCTCCTGGTGCTTGCCGTTAGAGAAAAGCCCAAGTCTGTCGACGAGTAAATAGATTTTCATTCTGTTTCAATCCTTGTGCATCAAGAGTGGTTTCAAAGCTGAGATCTTGCACAGCCATGCGGCCATCTGAAACATCTCCTTGATTATCTTCTAACTAGTCTACATTCTCTGCAGTGCAACAGTCCACATGGTCTACAGTCCACATTCTCGAAACGCCATCTGGAGACTGCCAGATCTCATAAACACGTTTGCTCTAGAAAGTGTTGCTACCAATGACTTTTGTACGTTTCACAGAAAAGAGTGCAAGTGACAGTTTCCGACGTAACTCTTTCCGAATGGAGCGACAAACCTCACGCCCAAGTCTCACAGGACGCAACCCATCCAGAGAACCTAGACGACCGAGTGCGCACAACTCGCCGTCACAGAGCCCCAGTCCTCCAAAGGAAGAACGCTCCACTGTGCAGAACCCAATTCACTTGTTTGCAAGGTCAAACTCATCAGCTTCTATCCAGACAGAACTGATGCACCATATAGCACCGGAGAAGAAGGATGAAGAGTTCAACCAGAAGATCATCCTGCAAACGGCACCTCGACGCAGCTCAGTCGTTGGAGACGAAAAGATGGTCGCTCAACTGGTTTACAACACCAGTTATGGCGGTAAAATGGAGTTTGACCTCACACGGGAGGAAACAACCCTTGGCAGACGAGAGGACAACAACATTGTCTTGACGGACGGCAAAATCAGTAAATATCACGCCGTCGTCGTCAAGAATGAAGAAGGGTACTGTATCTGATCTTAGCTACTACATCAAGGACAGAAACTCTTCAAACGGCGTGCGGTTGAACGACCGATTGATCGAACCAAACCAACTGGAGCTTTTGCGTGACGGTGATGTCATCATGATTGGTGCCATCGCACTTGTTTTTAATGACCCTGCCTCAGTCAGGAGGATGCGCGCGAACAAACACATGACACTCGAGGAAAAGTATCTGAAACTGGTGACGATTTTGCCGTCTGAGAAAAAGTATGAGGACACAGTCACCATCCGAGCAGAGTTGGAAGCTGAACAGGACGTGGATTTCAGCAAGATTGATCATGTTGAAGATTTGCCAACACTGCGTGAGGATTACGAGAAACTGCGTATGGCATATGAGCTCTCAAAGATGTCTGTCACTGGAGATGTGAACAAGCTTCTGGCAAAGTCTCTGGATCTGATGTTTGACATTTTGCCAGTCGATCGTGGTGTCGTCTTACTAGTCGATCCAGTCACTGGGTTTTTGTCGACACACTATGTCAAACTGGGTGAATCACAGGCAAAGGAAGTGAAAGAGATCCTGTTGTCGTCTACGATCATCCAAAAAGTGTTTTATTCTCGCAAGTGTCTCATTACTTCTGATGCCTATGAAGATCCCATGCTAGGAAAGGCAGCATCTGTCAGATACGGTCAGATTCGGTCTGTCATTTGTGTTCCATTGATCGCACACAACAAAGTCTAT